AGAGAGAGAGAGAGAGAGAGAGAGAGAGAGAGAGAGAGAGAGAGAGAGAGAGAGAGAGAGAGAAAGAGAGAGAGAGAGAGAGATGGAGGTGGGTGAGAGAAGAGTGAAGGCAGCGAATGGTGGATTATTGACAAAGTCACTGGACAAATAGGAATGGACTGCTGAAGTTAGCAACAAACAGGCAGCTGACTGCTCCACAGAAGGAGAGAAGTGGCCCATCATCAATGAGTGGGATCTGCATATCAAACCAGGAACGCATACCCAGAAACGTTACACCAGGACCGTCTGTGGACAGATTCTGAACTGAACTTGATCCAATGGTTGTGACAAACGCTGGCCCGATGGACTGGTGCTGGGAAACACAAGAACCCCAATGAATACAATGCTTGCCCATGTCCATGTGTGTGGGGGGGGGAGAGAGAGAGAGCGAGAGGGAGAGGGAGAGGAAGAGGGAGAGGAGAAAGAGCAAAAGGAGGAGGAGGGGAGAGAGACCAAAAGACGAAAGAGAGAAAAAAAGAAAACAAGAAGCGGGAGAAGAGCAAGAGAGGGAAAAGAGGGGGCAGAACCTGCCGTGCGATGCCTGCAATCTTCCCGCTCCCATCAACAGCAACAACCTTTGAAGCCCCAGCTTTGGCAGCAAATAGGCTGGACGTGTCACAAGCACAAACGAGCACATGGGAACCGTCGGATCCTGGAGTCACAATGGCACAATATGACTGTATTTTTTTCCCATGAAACCATCTTTTCTTCCCTTCCTTTTTCTTTTCACGAAAAGAGACGCAAGCGTGTTGACATTGACTCAACGGCATTTGACTTCTCCGATTATCATTTCCCATTTCAACAAACAGCCATAGACATCACTTTAAAGCTTGACCACCATCATTCAGATTCATAGCGCTTGCAACATCATTCAGATGTAAGGCAGAAGATGACAGTAGTCGCTGACTCGCACGGCAACAAACCAGGCAAACAGAGACCAATGGATGCAGGCAGATAGACAGACACAAACAGACAGATGCAGAGACAAACAGACAGGCAGGTGTGGGGACAGGAAGGCACCCACGCAGCCAACTGGTGGATGGGTCTGCATGCATACATTTAGACAAACAAACAGACACAAGGACAGCGGCAAGCAGGCAGAGGCAGGGAGGCAGTGAGACACCCATGCGGGCAAGTAGGCAGAGAGGCAGGCACCCATCAGCCAAGTCGCGGATGGGTCAAGTCACTGGCTCGCACGGCAACAAACCAGGCAAACATAGACCAATGGGGAGATACAGGCACATAGACAGACACAAACAGACAGATGCAGTGACAAATGGACAGGCAGGTGTGGGGACAGGCAGGTGTGAGGACAGGCAGGCACCCATGCAGGCAAACATAGATCAATGAATGAAAGGCAGATAGACAATAAGATTATATTACAATAAGATTATACATTATGTATGATATATAGTTATGAAACGGTTTTGACCTTTGCAGAAGCAGATGCAGATCTCAGGGTTCGATCCCTAGACCTTACCTGCACCCGTGTACAGTATCGAGTAGACCCCTGTGTGTTTTGAGCCCGCTACCTGTGTTCTAGTAGTGACTGTTGTTTGTCGTAGGTCCCTGTAGCTGTAGGGGTCCGATCTGTAGATCTGTTAAGTAGGGGTTACAGCTGTGTAGAAATAGAAACTGCTAGGCTAGAGGTCTGTAGGCAAGTCGTAAGTCCAACTGCGTCGAGTCGGCAGTGCAACCCCGTTCAGTTAGCGGTACCGGTCCCAGTCACACTTAGTCCAGTCAAGCAAGTACCGTGTGGGACTGTGTGCACCAAGGGCCTGGTGGAAAGTGGCAGACCAGCAGCCAACAGAAGTATAAATCAAGAGGCAGCGTCCAGCAATTCATTCATTCTGATGCGAACCAAGCAGAAGCGCTGCCAGTGCGTCTTGTACGAGGTGGTCTGCAGATGCCCGAAGCTGAAGTGGGCTGTGAGAGAGATAGAGCAGCCATAGCTTCTAGTAGTGACAGGGTTAGCGAGCAGCCATAGCTGTGATAAGAAGTCCAGCGTTTAGTGTGTGTGTATATGAGTGTGCAGTGAGAGTGCATGTGCGTGGGATATCCAGGGAGATCCAGTGAAGTGTGTGTGTGGACAAGTTGAGAGGATGCGGGGTGGCGAGGGGTGAAACAAGAGCACACAGGCGCCATAGTTGCTTGAAGCGAGCTTGTATCTGAACTTTGTTCTCGCCTATAATATCTCTGAGCTTTGTGTGGGCGCCTGGCGCAAGAGTGATTAGCCATCTGTTTACATGCATGCGAAGTAGGAAGATACCGAGTTTGATTGCAGTTATATTTATTTATAAAATTATATATATTTAGAAATAACTCAAAATAATATATATTATTATATCTATGATTGATTATTCACATATTGTATGCAATGACCCACCAAAACCACAGACTGAGAACACTGCTGATTTCTGGGATTTGCCGCTGGAATGAATGCCTTGCTGAGATTCCCGCATTCTGCTGTGGTTTCCATGTCTGTGTGTGTGCGTGCCTGCTGGTTTGCATGCCTGTCTGAGTGCTTGTCGGCTGAGTGTGTGTGTGACCCGCAAGGGTACTTGTTGGTTGAAAGGCCCTGCAGGGCCGGTACTTACCTGTGGCCGTGACTTTGAGGGTTGCAGCGGGGAAAACACTCAAGTAGCCGGGGTAGGCCCGCGACACTTAGAGCAGCAGGGAAAAACACTCAAGTAGCAGGTAGGCCGGTACCACTCAAGTAGTGGTAGAAGTGTCGGGTACTGGAGGCCGAGCAGAAGAAGACGAACCCCAGTAGCGGTAGGCTAGAGGTAGGCCGGTACCAGTCCAAGTAGCCCAGGTCTAGGGCCTGTCCGGACGATAGCAGAGCCTGCAATGATGTTTCCCTCCGAAAGGGAGGAGGTACTGGTTGCTGGGAGGCCGCTCGGCCTAGGAAGTCACCGCCCAAGAGGCCAGTAGGCCGCTATATCTTCCGGAGGAGCAAGTAGCTCCTCCTCATTTGCGGTATGCAAGGATTGGCGACATGCTGCTGAGCGAAGCGCTGGACTGGTACAGCGCTGCCTGGAGGTGAAGGGCAGCTGGGCGCTCAGCCTGGCTATGGCGAGCAGCCCAGCCTGAGGAGGTGGAAGAAGGGGGCAAAGGAGGAGAGTGGCGAGGCACCTACCTGGCTATGGTGGACACCATCTTCATCACCTTGTTGGGCGCTGCATCTGGAAGGCCCCAGTTGGGGTAGTGCCGCACCAAGGAAGCTCGAGGCAGAGTCGGGCATGGCGGCTTAGTCAGCAGCGGCATAGCTGCTTTGGGTTGTCCTTTGAACAGGAGTGCAGCGCCATAGCTGCTTTGGGTTGTCCTTTGGACAGGAGGGCAGGGCCCTCAGTAGTCCGCCATAGCCTAGGCATGTGAGAGGAGGAAGAAGGATGGAAGCCATAGCTATGGTGGACTTGTTGTTGTTGTTGTTGTTGTTGTTGAGTCAGCAGTAAGAGGGAACTTCGGATATTGATTCTGGTTTATCCGCTCATTGTTATTATTATTACTGGAAGAAGAATAAGATTGGCGAAGTGAAGGAGGAGGAGGAAGGTGGAGAGAGAAGAGGGAATTTGTCATTGGTCTTGCTGGTGTTCATCTTCTTCTTCTTCTTCTTCTTCTTCTTCTTCTTCTTCTTCTCCTTCTTTCTCTCTTCTTTGGTCTCTGCCTCTCTGCAAGTGATTTCATTCTTTCGCAATTGGGTGGCATTGTCTTTCATTGTGAGTTTGAACTTTGGGAATGACCAGGATCGTAACATGTATATATAGTCAAACAGAGCTGCCTGGTAAACCGTAGGCAGAGAGGAAGACGAGGACAACAAACGAGGGGCTGTAACCTGTAAGTATTTTTTATGTAGATTTCTTTTTTATTAATTTGATTTTTACCAACTTGATTTCGTAAGTGCAGGTAATAAACAAGCATGAGACACAAACAGACAGATGCAATGACAAACAGACAGGCAAGTGTGGGGACATCCAGGCACTCATGCAGGTAAGTGATGGATGGGTCTGCATGCATACATTTAGACAGACGGGCAGACAGAAGGACAGAAGCAGGCAGGCAGAGGCAGAGAGGCAAGTCCACAACCAGACGGACACCACATATTCAACATCATTGAAGATACTGGTCGTGAAGAACTCGCAGCGAAGACTCAAATTCGCTGCGAAAGGGGATCACTGGGAATAGCCACTAGCCCTTGGCTGAACACTGACCCCATAGGCCTCGCTCCATTACTCACCAAATGCACAAAAGACAAAAGACAATATGGCGGTCTATCTTCCCATGTTCTACCGGAAGATTCATTCTCAGTTTGCACATTTAATCAGTAGTGGAGTGAGGCCCCATGTCTCTGATTCGCAGCTGAACGGAATACTTGTGAACGTGAGATGCTGGTGGGATAATTGTCCGTACGTGCTCAGCAAGCCAGGCACCTTTAATGACCTCCTCCTCTAGAATCATAGCCTTTTACAAAAACTCCTACGTATAGACTCTGGGTCACGATGACTCAGCAGCACGATCAGCTGGCACATGTTAAGATTGGGCAAGACCATTTCCCACTCAGATTATCACTTACTTATATACGTATATAAGTAAGTCTTAATTGCATTCAAGCACTGTTCAAACTTCTGAAGGAAGACATTCATTGATGTATTTAAGGTGCGAACTTCATATATTTGAGGTTTGAACCCTCGATCTCACGAGAAGGGGTACAGAACAGAGATCACAAAATGGAGTGAACAAGTGGATGAATCAAATCGTTACCTCAGGATGCCTGTGCCACATCCAACGTCCAAAACAACAGCATTCTTTAGAAGGGACGGATTGCCCATTATTGCATCTCGATACGCCAGCGTTCGTGACTGCGTCACAGCCAACCAGAATTTTAACAGTTTTTGTAACATGAATGAATTGTAACCAGAGCTCAAACCGGAGTTGGTACCGGAGTTGGTGCCGGAGTTGGTGCCGGAGTTGGTGCCGGAGTTGGTGCCGGAGTTGGAACCAGAGTTGGAGTCGGAACAAGGAAGAAAATCCCAGTCAATGTCCGTGGCGCCCACCAGAAGGTAGCACAGGCCAGCAAATAACGTGAAACAACCAAGAGTTTTGAAAAAGTCAGAAACGACAAAACAGACAAATGCAACAGCTCAGCAAAAGGAAGATTCGCATAAAATAAACCATGAAAAAAATGGGGGGGGGGGGGGGGGGAGGGGGAGAGAATTAATAATAATAAATAATAATAAAAAAAAAAAACATGAAACTAAAGTAAATGCTGGCCCAGGAAACCTAGCAGATCATAACTTCCCATAAGAGAATTATATGTGCTCGGCAGACTCCAGTCGAGGTACACATCTCCGACACCCACGTGGCAGCAAGGGGAGGAAAGACGAGCCTGAAAATTGCGAAAAGGAGAAACATCAAACTGGAGTCGAAATCGGAAGGGCAAAACAGCAAAAGACAACAGATCAGCAGTCCGGCTAGAATTAAGAAATAAAATAAAAAGCAAAGACAGGAAAAAAAAGAAGGACAACCAAAAAAAAGAAAAAAAACGACTGATGAATAACAAATTGAGAGAAAAAGCAAGAAGATAAGGGGGGGGGGGAAGAAGAACAAAGAAAAAGGAATCACATCTCCCCCCCCCAAAAGGTCAACTATTCTACTCAGAAGGCAACCCATTTTCAAACGAATCACAGCTGTTATGCCCTCTAAAAAATTTAAGAAAAATGTGGCCTCTATAAATTTTAAGAAAAATGTGGCACATCAAAGAGACCCCAAACCCAAGACTCAGTTAGGGATAATACCCAGAAAAAAAGCATGGTAACCGCGGAACCGAACACCGGACACTTCCGGACTGTCTTCCGGACCAATGTCTGGACCGGTCCGGACTGTCCGGTGATCCGGACATCACCGGACACCGGACATAACCGGACACCGGACATAACCGGACACCGGACATAACCGGACTCCGGACATAACCGGACACCGGACAGTCCGGACCGCTCCCCGAGGTGCAAACAATGTCCGGACAAAAAAAAAAAAAAAAAAAAAAAAAAAAAAAAAAAAAAAAAAAAAAAA